AAAAAAAGAGACACACATTTTGAATCAAATTTCAATGACGAATCATCAATTGAATTTTTTTAAAGAGAAAAGTACTGTGCAAATACGAACACTGCGCGTGTATGTAGATTTTGTTAGTGTAATTTGGTTAGATCGAACTCTCACCGCTTCAATTTATAATTCAAATCAAATGCATTCGAGTGCGGCGCTGCTTGCATGTTCTTATTCTTACGCACAGTGTTCGTGCAAATATTTACTTTATACATATAAAAGCGAATTTTTCATGTAAAATCATCATAAAAAAGTAAATTCATACCTATGCGCAATGCGCATTCTTGTACAAAGGGATGCCGAAAATTGATTGGAATCTCATTTGTCGTCATTGGCTAAATCTCTTTGGCCTTGAACGCGTATTTTTATACTACTCCGATTTGGTTTTCAATTTTTATACTAATTAGTGGGGCTTCACATAATGAACACCATCTAGCATCTATCCTAATATCTACGCAGAATCACGCGTTGCGTCAAATGAAACATCACACATTTTCATACGAATTTACAAAAAAAAAATCATTTTTCAAAGCAAAGACAAGTCATTCCGAGCGTTTGAGCGACACATAGACGAAAATTTGATTACGAATAACGGAGAATAGGCAAAACGGTGAAAGATACTCGGGAACGAATGTTCGCAAAAAACAAAATTTACAACGAAAAGATGTATATGGACACTTTGAAAACATTCTCTTCTCAAGTCATTCGTTCCCGAATTCTACTATTTTTCATATTCTCCGGTATTCGTAGACAAATGCTTCGCTCATCAACAAATCGTTGGTGCGTATACTTTAACGATAGACGCAATGTGGGTCCCGTGAATCAATCGAAAGTTTATTATTTATTTAATAAAGTCACAATTATTAAATTTTAATCAATTTCGTGTATGACTCAGTCTAGTATGGACTGACATGATTCATGTAAAAGAATTTTGAACTCTTTCGGTTTGAATGTGAAATGTGTTTAAGAACGAAATGATATGAAAGTGACGATCATCGGGCGTCTCTCATGACTTATATCAGTCACTTGCTCAAATAATGTCATTTGTTTCATCGTTCAAAGTCTATAAATAAAAAGAACCAAGCGGCCAACGTACCTACCTATACTACTCTAGAGTCTAGACTATTGTAAACAATGTTATTGCGAGAGTGCTTGGTTCTTTTGGGTTCTACATTATACAATCTATCTAAAAATACCTTTCCGGAGTAGAAAATTCATAACTCGCAAATGGTTTTTTCCGAATTGATCGTTCATTTTTTTTTCAAAACATTTTTTAAAATTTCTGTCCTTAATATCGTTTTCTAGTTTGGAGCAATCATTGGAATTTATCGAGATTCAGAATGAATCACATCCGCACCAAAATGAAATCGACCGATGCCAAATGACCGACGCGACAAATGAACAAATGTCTTCGGACGACACCATTGAATTCGTTGAGAGTGTCATAAAGGTTGAGACAATTTCAAGTGAAGACGACGAAAATGCGATCGGAACAACGGAAGGTATTTCAACAACAAGCGAAGCGGAGCCAGCCATGCATGAGCGAATGAACTATCGGCCGTCGTTAGATTCGTGTTTTTCAATGGATCGACATTCAACATGTTCGCCAAGCACCTCAAATCAACCGATGGTATCGCCAAATGTTTCACCAAATATTTCACCATTTTTATCGTCGACCGAACTAAATATGATAATCAAACGGGAAATAGATCACACGCGATTCGATGAATGCGTTGTTAAAATGGAAGATGTTCCAACGACATCAGCAAGCATCGACAATGAAATACCACCATCACCAAGTCATCGACAGTTTCAACGATCCGTATCCATACTATCAGTTGAGCAGCAAGAAATCAAACGAAAAACTGTGGCTGCATACCATGAACCATGTAAAAAGCAAAAAATAACTGACGTCGTACAAATGAATGGTAATTTTTGATATTTTTGCGAGTTTTTTCTACTTTCACACTTTTATTTTGTCTTCTTTTTTCCATTTTCCGTCTTGAGTGTCATAAGTTTTTTTTCTCTTCACAGAGTCAATCCCGACACCAAACAATATGCCCGCGACAAAGGACTTCGTGTTCGCCTGTTTCTACAGTAAATGTCAAATAAATTTATTCATAACAACGCTTCAAGAGGTCTATGGCCATTGGAAGGATGCCCATGAAATGTCGATGAAACCATTTCGATTTGTGGCCATTGGCAAAGCGGCATGTTTCTATTGTAATAAAGTCGATGTATTTCCTCAACTTGTTCCACACCATAAGCACCGTCACCATTCCGAAATCATGGTCATTGTGGACAAAGAGAATAAATCAAAATGTGGTTTATGCCATCGTATTTTTTCCTCCTCTGAAATGGTGGTGCATTTTAAGCAACAACATGACCCATCCCTGCTTGGCGGCATCAATAGTCCGGTGTGTTTCAGTGAAGCCGAAGTAACCGATCTATTGAAAATTAACTCAACACCAAACGGTTTGTGTGAATGGAACTCCGCAGTGAATGGGCCGAACGAAATAAAAGCATTTGTGTGTGGCTTTTGTGGAGCCGCAAAAAGTTTAAGTGAAACATCGTTCATTGATCACATTGAAAACGATATATTCAAATATAGTTGTTCGGCATGTTCATTCCTTTCTGACAGCATCCACGAAATTATGCAACACGAAGAGACCGTTCATCACATGACCAACGTTCACATCAAACACAAGACTACACTCGATAGTCGATTGGAACGTTACTATATGAGAACGCGTGTTATTTTCAGCAATGGATTGGCATTATTCAAACACAACTTGCTTAACACAAAATTCGATGATCGATCGGAGTTTTGGTCGTTCAAAGAACGTTTTGTTAAACAAAAATCCAACGAAGGTATACTGCCTAAAATGAAAGATGATGACAAGCTGAGTGATTTTCACCGAAAAGAATTGAAACGACAACGGGCTTATCACAATAATTTATGTATTCGCGGCATTATGACGGTGGTTGGTCAGGATGAACTGCACCAAATACTTGCATTTATTTGCAAGGTGCTCCATGTGGAGATTACAAAAAATGATTTTGATACCATTTTTCAACGAAGCGGCTTTGATGTTATCGTTAAAATGAGAACATTTGATCTTAAGAAACAGATATTGAAACATTTTGATTCTATTGAGAAAACGAAAATTCCGGAAAAATTCAAGGGTATTTTGAATATTTGTTCGTTAATTGATCTGAAAATGTTTTCGGTGGAAAATGATTTGACGGGATTTTTTAGGGAGCTTTATGAATATGCACAAATGAAAAAAGATAAAATGCACATCCATTCGGTTTGGATATCAGACCGTGGCATCAGCGTTAAAGTGACGTTTAAAAGTCCCATTGAAATTATTTGGACGAAAACTGATTTGGATAAGTGTATTCATCAAAAATATAAGGGATTGGTATGAAAATCAAAAGCAATTTAAGTTTTTTATTTTAAGATCAAAAGTAATTGAATCAAGGAGTTTCAGGTCACAAAGGGTAAAACAAAATTTTATTCAATGAACACTGAATTGATAAGAGAATGAGAAAAGATGATTAGACCTTGGTTTAAGTCATTTGCACCGTATTTTTTGCTTACTTTAAAAAAAAAAAATACAGACAATATATTAAACTACTGGTCAGTTGAGCTGGCACTACGTTAGCTAGCTAAATGGGACAAAACAATAGACGTTATTATTTTAATGATGAATCACTTCTCTTGTTTTAATAGAAGTGATTGTTCATTATAACAATTACTTCTATTGTTTTAGTCCAATACGTACTGTCAGCTAGCTCAACTGACCAGTTAGTTCAATATATTGTCTGAAAAATTATCCAACCTCGAAGTTGATTTTAATCATTACGAGTATCCATAAATCTTCAGTCAACCCACAGTGCTAATTACAATTTTCAATAAAAAAACTATAACCACGGGACATCCGAGAATTTTCGTTAAGGATGCCGAATTTTGCTCATATTGAACTTATGGAACCAATTTTTTCTATGAGACTACCAAAAAATGTTGATACTAATCAACTGTTGCAATGATGTGTTTATTATAGTACAGAGGCGATCTGGTGAGCATCGACTCGCAATTTCGTCAACTAACCAGTATATGTTTGTGTGGTTCGAGTATATGCTTTTAAGACATCATGAGCAACAAATATCAATATGAGGAGTGTTTCTGGCTGCATATCCGCTCTGTTAAACAATGAGCTATAAAATTTTCTTTAACATTGATAAGTTTTCTAACTCCATATTGGGCGATAAAACCTTATCTTGTCATTTACTTAAGGAAGTCGTTAATTTAAAAAAACACCATTTAGGCGTAAGACAACAAATATCATGAATTTCATTTCATTTTCTTAGTAAAGAACGGTGGAGAGAGAAACAAAGATAGAGTGAGATAAGTAAAGAGAGAACAGGAGAGAATGACGACGGCTAGAGAGAGAAGAGGAAAGAGAGGAGAAGAGATAGAGGGAATAGATGGAAGTATAAAGAAAGAAACAAAGAGGCATATTAGATAAAGTACATAAAATGTAATGAAAGAAGCTAGTAAATATTTTCTTTTAAATGAATAAAGAACATGCTTTTTTTTCTATGTAAAAGACTCTTTGAAATTAAACAGAATTTTGAATAAAACATAATAATAAAGATTGTTTGATCCAAATTTTTATCTTTTCTCTTGAAAGTCTATAAAAAAGGTAAGTGTTGGATCACTCATGATTCTTCCTCTCCCGCTTCTTCCGTGACCTCAGTTTTCTTCGGACCCTTATGCAACTCCACAGACCTATAGAATCAAATTACTCCTCGGTCATTGACTTAATTGACATTGACTAAAGTAAGTGGCCAAAATGCAAATCAGACCTCAAATATGCTGATTTCCATATATACTATAATTCCAAGCTCATACGCAATCAAAAATGATCGCTTAAAAAAATAAAATTCATAATTTTTTTTCTCCAATTTTTTTTTGCTAAATCGGCTATTTGTTTTTATTCAATAGTTACAAGTTACAAAAAATTTGTTGTAAAACAATTCTTCTACAAAATTGTTTGTCATTTTAATAAATTGTTTTTTTGTTTGTATATTGTGTATAATTTTCACAAAAATAAAGAGATTTAACTATAAATATGTGTCGCTGCGATGCCGTTCAGCGTGTGTTGTGTTATGGGAGAGCAGTGTGTTTGCAAGAAAAGAAAACGTTGATGCAATGAATTCACCAAAACATTGCTGGTGCACAAAATGAGATTTGGTAACAATTACAAAAAAATATTAAAATATTGAACTATATGTGGTGACGATCTGTGTCATCGTTGTTTTTAACTTTTTTCTCCATTCAAATCTTTCTATTTATACTAAACGATGAGTAATTCTATATATATAAAAAGTGCATGTGATTGTGAAACATTCTCTATTTTCATCGAAAAATATACGATTTTATAAAATGACCTGATTTGGAATGGAAGGTCGTTTGTATATTGATTTGTTTTCCGTTTTTCGCTCTTTTCATTCTGTTAATTGTAACTACGATTTAATATGACCTATAAGTACTCAATGGTGCTAGAAATGAAAACAGATATAAAGTCCAAATCAAACATTTCAATTTAAACATTCACACACCAAGTCATCGTCGAAAAATAAAATAATTTTTTTTATAGTCTCTTGTTTTTCGCGTATACGTTATTTTATTTATTGTCGCGCCGATCGCTCCGTTTCCATCAAACATTCACGAACCAATACCTGGAATAAAAAAAAGAACATCTTTTAAAATATTGCCTGAATTCTTTTTAATCTAATTTCATTCTTCTTAATATGAGGCTCGATATAAGGAACGAAGGTGAGTCTCCATAAATGTGAACATTTTCTGATGCCAATCTAATCAATAAATCTTATTTGATATCACAAACCAACGATTCATTTTCAAATTAACCGTAGAAGTTTCATAGATTGGCATTAGACAATTTACTTTTTATATTTATCACTTCTAAGAACGAGTAGTAGTTAACTATTTTTGACTCGAGTTTACTGTCCAGATAATGCAATTGATAATGAGTGCTATTACGCAGCTGGTGAATGTGATTACATCGCCGTTATCGACTTGATATGAGTGTGAACGATAAGAGAGAAATTAGTGAAACATTTCAAAACTCTTCTCTTTCCCTCTCATAAACGAGAGATCGGCGTAACATTGACCCACACACATTCTCCAGTATCAATAGCATTTATCTCGATCTAAAATCCATATCAAAAAGCCACAAATGTCCAGTATGTCGGGCAAATATTGTTTTTGGACTCTTATGAACGACGACGAAAAAGTACCTTTGCTTGAATAATCAGCCGCTTCAAACGGTCACCACGTCCCATTGCGTACGTTGGTCGAATATCACGGTTCATTTCTTCGATCACGGCCAGCAGCTGCGCATATTTCGATAGGCCCGAACCTTGTGACGTCGATGATTGAGACAATCCCAATCCGTTGTTGCTCTGGCCATAGCTACTGTACAGTTGAGATGCCGGTGGAGTGGCTGAAACTACAGTAGAAATACCACTTATTAAGCTGATTTTTTGCAGTTTTATATGAACAAAAATTGTTGAACATAATTGGTAATTTTTAGTCAAAAATGTGCACAATTTCACATATTTTTACGATTTCTTCGGAAAAGTTAAAAATTTCTTTGCAAAAAGTGAAATTTTCGTAGAAAATAAAACTTTTTATTTAATTTTGTCTCTTTTTTCTTTTTTTTATTCTAAATTTTGAATTCTCCTTAAAAATTGGAATTATTTTCTTTGATAAAATTTCATTTTTCACTTTTTTACTTTCGGTATTCAACAATTTTGGATATTTATTCATCATTTTTGTTGATTTTCATGGTATTTTCCATAAATATTTTTAAATTTTCGGAGTTTTCTTGAGATTTAACACAATTTTTCCATCGACCGCAATTTTTCGCACATTTTTTCTCAAATTCTTAATGTTCCAAACAACGCAAATTAATCTTACCCAATCGATTTAAATTAGCATTTTCCAAAATTTCACGTTCACGTTCTCGCTCTCGTTCTTGTTGTTGTCTTTGGCGTTGTTGCTGTTGTTGCTGTTGTTGATGTTGTTGCAATTGTTGTTGTTGTTGTACTAGCTGAATAGCAGATTGTATCAATTGATTTTGTTGATAGGTTAAATATTGATTATTTTGGTTTTTATTCGATTTCGATGAACCATAATGTGATGACGAATTGGAATTTGAATGATGATGACCGTACTGTTGCTTGCTTGCAACATTTGCCATTGGTATTGCTGTCACTGTGACATCGTTCAATTTCGATTCAACCGCCTGAATATCCATTTCATCATAGAATCGTCCCTTATTCATATTCAATTTCAACTAATTTGACGATCGACAAAAAAAAACTATAAAGTCCAAAGTCCAATTTAAAATAATGGCTAATTAGACAACACAATGTGACAAGTTTCTCCGCTATTGAAAATCAATGCACTGAATGGAAAAATAACAAATCCACACTCCAAAATATTGAATTGTTGCAAATGCAAAACGAATATGTATTTCAACAAAATAAATCTAAATAATAAAAATAAAAACAAACAAAATTTTGATCGGTGGAAAAATAAATTGCGGAGAAATTAAAACACGCAAAGCACACCGTACAGAACAAGAGAAATGTTTATACAACAATGACAATCGTTTAATTTTCTAATGGTTGACTTTTTTTTGCTCATTTGCTGTACACAAGTGACAGATGATGATGGATGCGCGTTTGTAGTTGTGAGGCAAATATAGCGAAATCAGAAACGCAACGAAACGCAAAACAAACTCGAAACAATGGTTGAACGGTTTGGAAGAGACTGTAAACAAACATGAATAATGAATGAAAACATTGGAGAAAACCTTATAAATGTCGGAACTTGCGTTGAACGGAGAGGTTTTGTATGAAGAAAAAAACCTTTAGTGGAACGCAGAGAAAACATGATGCTTCAAAACACTTGGTTTGATTGAGGTTTGGACGGTGTAAGGTTTCATTGGTCGATCAATATAATTTACCGAGAGACTGAAAGGAGACAGAAGAATTTCAATAAGATTCAACCAAAACAGTGCGTATTTTTAGCACGAATTTTTAGAAATTTTCAGGCTATTGAAATCCACGCCCATTTCATGTATTTTTCCGGTTTTTTTATTATTTTTCTCTCTTTTCTCATTCAATTATGTGAGCTTCCCTGTCTTTCTATCTCATTCAATAGACCAAGTGGAAACCAACAATTTTTTTTTTGATTTCTTTTCGTTTTTTCGTCAATTTCAACGGAAAAAAGTGAATATTCAAATTAAGAGACATGTTACACTCCAAAAAAAATCGCATTGTCTCTGAAAGTTCATTCGCCGAAAAATTCAATTTTATTTAAATTTCTCAAACGGACGCAATTTTAATAACAATGGAATATCTCGTGAGTCTAGTCGAAAAGAATGTCTATTTTTCTCTCGATTGCATCTGAATAAATAGAAGACGATTCACATACAATATATCACTTGTGTTCAATGTTTGCTTGAGTTTCAAGTTGAATGTTTTGAGTTTTGAGAAGAAAAAAAAATATAAACATCAACAAAAATGTCAACGCATACAACCGCATATTGGTTCGGCGAATTGAAGTCGCTTCATAGTATTGTCAAACGTACACACTCGCACACATGCACACATCGGTGCTTGCTTACTCATCGATGTATACGAATGGCATAACACAAACTGTGTTTGTTGTAAATATTTATGCATAAATGCCACTGACGACAGCGACAACATCCACACTCATTCACTGACTCGCACGCACACATACATGCACCATCAAACATCAAGAGAAGAGAAGCAATGAAAAAAAGTATAGTGTATTTATTTCATATATTGAAGCACGTACTGACCTAACATCAATGCTGCATCAATCTCTCTCACAATCTCAACATTTGACAAAAAATTATCGCATTTATTTGCCATTTGGTTGAAATAAATTATGCCAAAACAATAATTTGAGCAAAAAGTGTTGGAATGCCATTAGTTGAATAAAAGTGAAATAGAAAGTGAAACAAATATAGAATAAGTGACAGCAGAAAGAAAGGAATGTAGTGACACCAAAATGCATCTAAGTTGATGCAAGACGAATGGAAAAATTTAGTGTGTGCATTTTAATTCCGAAGAACTTTTCAATCTAAAATTGACTGTTGTCACGCTGGCGACATCAAGTCGATTGCATTTCGTTTTTTTTATTATTTTCTGTTGTTGTTTTTTTTTATTCATGCTGTTTATTTGAGTGAGTTGAGAATTGTGAGATTTCAACGCAAAAAACATGAACTATTCGCCGTATTTTTTGGTGGTGATGTACAATTGAAACGAATAACAACAACAAAAATGGAACAAATCAATCAGAAATCACGTAAGTCGATATACAAATGAAATGTTTGAGGTTGTAAATTCCGGACCATTCACCCAACGACGACGCGTTGATATAAAAAAAGTGAAATCTTTGATTGATTTGCATTAATATTTAATCAATGGCTATAAAATTGTGTATGTTTTTAATGGTTGTTGTCGCTTTTCTTTGCATTTTATCGTCATGTGTATGAATGCGAACAACAACAAACACCAACAACGCTCAGTGGCTAGTTCGAACTATGTAGTGGTTTTTTTTTATAGTTTGGTGTGTCGCATCGGAATTGAGTGTTGATTTAATTGGTTGACTGCAGTCAATTGAGCGCTTTATAAGCTGATTTGTTTTCTTTTTGTTTTTGCGTGGATATTTTTTGGTTTCTTTGTCGTTGCGTGTCTTGGTCGCGATTCAATGCATACATTTGATGGGTCTCGTGTGCGCGTTTCGACGACGTGTTTACAACCATAAATCGCTTATGGACTGTACAAGTCTAATTGGATACTTGCGATTTACGAGTTTTTTTTTTGGCATTTAAACGCGATTTGCATTGTTTTCACTGACAATCGATCGATTGTTGTTTTAAATTACTCGTCGATTTTATGCGTTGTGAAAGGAGATGATTTTTTTAAACATCTTTTTTTTTATTGCTCCATTGAAAGAAAATTCCAAGTTTTTTTTTTTGTATTAATACAGATGTCATTATTTCTTGTCACGAACCACAAATCTGGACTTTTGGCAATAGTTTTGTGGCAAATTTGTTAATTTTAAATTTTTACTTGGATTTTCGGTTGACAACCACAACAAATGATGATAATTCAATTAAAAGTCACGTTTCAATCTGCAAACAAAAAACAATTCGCGTGCTTCATTCATGTCACATGATTGATTTCAGTTTTTTTCGTTCTTTTTCTCTTCTGACCCTCCTAACCCTTCCTTCCTTCTCTCTCTCTCTCTTTCTAAAAATCTGATTCCCTCTGTTTCTCTCCCTCCTCATGCAGGCGACCGTGAAGGAAAAAAATCGTCACCAAAACTATTGCGAAACAACCTGAGCTCGTTGACACAATGCGCAAGTTGCTTGAATGATCTTGATGACCGGATAATATCAGCGCTTGGCCAAAATTGGCACACCGACTGTTTCCGGTGTTCGGTGTGTGACGAGCAACTATCGCATTGGTATTTTGAAAAGGACAGTCTACTATTTTGCCGCGATGATTACCTACAACGATTCGGCGAATGCTGCCAACAATGTTCGGCCCTAATTAGCGGCCCGATTATGATTGTCGGCGATCATAAATTTCATCCAGAATGTTTTTGCTGTGTATCATGTCAACAGTACATTGGTGATGGAGACTCGTACGCACTCGTCGAACGATCGAAATTGTTTTGGTAAGTAGTCAATTAACGCATACTGCGTGCGAATAAATATAAATAAATGATATTTTTAGAAACATACAACGTGACCAGTTGGTAAACATGACTGTCTGATACATGTGCGACAGTTGAGCAGATGACAGTATAGCCAATGTGGTCGTTGAATTAAGATGAAAATTGAAATAATGAAAAAAATCTCGTCTTTTCTCTTTAGTGGAAATTGCTATTGCGTCAAAATCGATAAAACCTCAATTAAGTCAATTGAGTCGCCGACATCGTTGTCGGATATTTTAGCACCGTCCTCGTCTACACATCAACAACAGAAGACACTTCCGCACTCCATACGATTAGTGGAAATACCATGGTCCAATGAAAACAAAACCGCCCTTCGATTGTCCATTGATGATAGTCAAAATGGTACCATGCCTATCATCGCCACAAAACATAATGGCATACGGATTTCACAGTGAGTTTAATATTTTTTTTATTTGTACATTCAAGAATGATGGAACTGTCTAGTTATGTTTGGGAGAATTGGGTGTAGTTAGATATGTGGAATTTGGCATCAGTTCGGTCGTTCTTAGTAGACGTGAATCAGTAATGTGCGAGCAAAATTTTCCAGGGGAGATGATTTCAAAATTTTCTTCAAAAACCCTCGAGAAAAAAGGAAATCGAGAAAAATTTCGTTTCGGACATTACTGACGTGAAGAATAAGGTCCGGTTTCTGAAAAGTTCGCCGAAAATCTGAAGCGATCTTAAAACGGCGTCTTTGGCATGTTATTGATATTGGTGCCTTTGGCGCTTTAAACAAAGAAAGCTTCAGACCTCGTTTCAGAAATTCTTCAAAAAATAGGAAGTGTAGATTAATGGAACTAAAATTTATATTCTCTGTGTTGATTTTGAACCAGTTGGTCAAAGTGTTTACACAACGTGTCAAAACACACATTTTTTTAAACATAATTTACATAAATTTGACATGAACTAACTGAAATTTGTTTGTTTACTAACAAAAAAAAACCACATCAAAAAACAAAAATGGTGCAACCAAAAACACAAGTCGCCTTTGTCGAATGTACGGTCGACTCGGTAAATATGTGTTTGCTGTCGTCACATCAGCATTAAATGTATGCTGTTCAAGTACTGACGGCAATTCTGATGCCAATAGGTAATTTTTTTGAAAAAAAACAGAAACATTCTCGATTTTTCAATATTTTTGCGATTTTCCAATTTATTTTGAGCTATTTGTCAAAATCATCGCTTAATTTTTTAATCATGTTAATTGATTTTGCTTAAATTTGATTTTTTTGTCCCGAAAACGAAACAAACATTGGCTGTATTGGTTATGCTCATTACCTCGACATTTTTGCTGAATCTGAACATATATTTTTTTGGTTCGAAAACACATTGTCATTCATTATTCTAAACAAACTACAAAATATTTCCTTGTTTAACACTGCATGTAGTTTTTTTTTCTAAATTTTTCGGAACAATTTAAACTAATCTTAATTTTTTACTAAAAAAAAATCACAGGGTTGATGTGCGAAACGATTCGGCTTCATTGCGTGTCGGCGATAAAGTGTTGGAGGTGAATGGAACGCCCGTAAACGGCAAGTCCATTGAAAATATTGACGAGCTAATCAAAAGTAGTAACGAAGTCTTACAGTTGACCATCGAACATGATCCGCATCGTTTGACAAAGTCTGTGTCCGAAGCAACAATAGTAACCACACAGCCAAGTGTTACCGACAGTCCACTGTCGCCCGCAACAACCATTCCAAAGTGTTACAATGTATGTTGTAGCCGATCGCCGTCAGTGAGGGAGCCACCAACAACGGCCAAACCCGAACGACTTTACATGAAACAAACTTCACAAAACGATGCCATGACAAGTGATGGCCTACAATCACCTTCAAATTCGTATGTTTGCGGTACAAAAACCCAACAGCTATGCAAAACAAAAGCATTCAATTTGAACTGTGGCATCGGCACGAATAATCTGAAGAATCAAAAGGAACGATGCTCGAGCATGTCGAAATTACTCGACGAAAATCATCCACCCACCGTTGAATTCTACGATCTTTCACGCACCAAATCGTTTCGAGTTGATACACAAGAGTCCACACAACGCATTTTTCGGGCCAGTGATCTTGTGATTGGTAATATCATATTTTACGTTAGACAAAGGCTGGCGCTTTATCCATTTTTCTATCTTTCTTTCAGGCGAACTACTGGGCAAAGGATTTTTCGGTCAGGTATTTAAGGTAACACATAAACTTACGAAAGAAATAATGGTGCTAAAGGAATTGTATCGCGTCGATGAAGAAGCCCAACGCAATTTTCTCAAAGAGGTTGCCGTACTTCGATCACTCTCACATAGTAATGTATTGAGATTTATCGGGGTGCTGTATCGCGATAAAAAATTACATTTAGTTACGGAATATGTACCGGGTATGTGTTAATTCAAATGTACTTTATTTTTAATATTAATTTATTAACATTTGTTTTTTGTTTTAAATGCCAGGCGGATCGTTGAAAGATCTTATCCATAATAATGATTCGGTGCTACCATGGGAATGTCGAATTCGGTTTGCCAAAGACATCGCATGCGGAATGAACTATTTACACTCGAAAAATATCATTCATCGCGATTTGAACTCGTTGAATTGTCTGGTTCGGGAGGATAAAACGGTTATTGTTGCCGATTTTGGTTTGGCACGCATTATCAAGTCAGGTAATTGCAAAAGCAGCAATCGATTGACCGTTGATGGCAACGGCACTGTTAATCGGAAGTACAGACAGAGGAGACAACGATATACAGTTGTGGGAAATCCATGTAAGTAGTTTCAGGGTGAACATTGTGTGTTTTTTTTTTAATTTACGATTTTTTTTCGTATTTAATTGATATTTTTCGAAATTTTGGTGGAAAATTTATTATTAAAATTTTTAATTTTTTTTTAAATTAAATTTGATTCATTTAATTTTTTTTAAATATGTTTTTTATCTTAAATTTAAATTTTTGAAATTTTTTGGTAATTTTTTTTTTTTTTTTTTTCAAAAAATTTCTTTTTTTCAGACTGGATGGCTCCTGAAATGATGAAAATGATGAAATACGACGAAAAAGTGGATATTTTCTCATTTGGCATCGTTGTGTGTGAGGTGAGTCCAGATGAAAAATGTCTTGGAATAATGACTTTCCGTTTCAATTTACTAATTTTTCCAAAACTTCCTTATTTAGATCATCGGTAGAGTTCTTGCCGATCCCGATTATTTACCGCGAACCTCTGATTTTGGTCTGAACCAAAAAGTGTTCCGTGAAAAGTTCTGCATTGATTGTCCGGATTTATTTTATAAAATTGCGTTTTTGTGTTGCGACTTGAATCCTGATGCGAGGTACCTTAAAGTTCATTAATTTATCAATTTAAGTTCAGGGACTCTTAGAAGAAATTGCGGTGGAATGTTTATATCAAGCTTCACAAGAGAATTTAGACAGTTTAAATATTTCCAATATTTTTTCAGATTTTTTTTTTCAAATCGTCTCTTAAACTACTTGAGCTCAATTTCACCAATTATTTTCACATGAAAAATTCCTACAAGTTTTTTAAATTAGAACCTATAACTGAAATATTTTGACAACTACAATATATTCTGAGACAATTTTCTAAGCGAAAAAATGCTAAGTTTTCGAAAGTCTCTCAATTTGTTTGGAAGCCAGTGCTGGAATTTTTCTTGTAAAAATATTTGATGGTGCTTGGTCTTGCATTGATTTTGCTAAAAAAAAAAACAAAGAAAAAAAATCTAATCGAATCTCTTTTTCTCCCCATAGGCCCTCATTTGAAGTTCTGGACGTTTGGCTTGAAAATCTGGCGAAGCATTTATCGCAAGGTCGGAGTATTTCATCAAAACTTCGTTGCGATATTGAAAATTTCAAAGAGCCATTAGAAAAATTGGATTCACCGCCATCGGCAAAGAAAATTGATACAAGACTGTCAACGTCACGATCACCATCGCCGTCGAATAAAAAGTCTGATTTCATTGTGAACAATAAAAGTAGTATTATGAGTGAATCGATGCCATCATCAATGGATATCGAGGACAGTGGTCCAAGTTCGATAATAATGCCAATAATGTCCGATGTAAGCACACCACCAAATGGTATTAGCTTCAGTCCCAATAGCAATAATAGCAAGCACATAAATAGCAATAGCAATGACAATAATAATCGTAGTCATAGTAGTAGTTTTAGTCAAAATGAAAAAAACACAACAGACCAAGTGCCATCCACAAATGAAAATGTGCCCATTGAGTATTCGCCGTTAATTCGTGAAATACCAAAATCGCCACATTTGAGTAAAGATTTTTCACCAAATGGTGAACGATTACGCAATAGTCTACGGTTTCGTCGTCAAGAGCGATTACAAAAACAGCGATCGCTTCGATCGTTGGCCAATTTGATAAATCATCAAAGCGGAACATCATGGGATAGTGGTAACGAAAATTCAATTTCATCGTCAAATACTGACGACTTTGATTCGGATCGTGGAACAAATTATTTCAATTTTCCATCGAAACTACCGTTGACCGATGCCAATAATATCAAACCGATTGGAAAGAAGTCGAAACCGTATGGTGAAAAAGGATTCATTATTCATGTGAACGACGGTTCGCTAACGTTGAATGACGTAAAAGACTTGAACAATTGTTATTCGGATGATTTCGATTCGAGTTGCGACACAAGTCTCAATTACATCGATCCGGACTCATTGAATGTAACCATCGAAACGGAAAACAATCCAAAATCGACGGAAATCACATTTATTTCACCAAAACCACTGAAAAATTCCACATTCGAAGTGGCACTTCCCGAGAATGATGAATCTCTTGACGCGATAAAATATTCTTTAGATGAAGTTCGTGAAAATTTAAATAAATGCAAATCAAAATTGGACGCCTTAGAAATTGTCGACGTAAAACTATCGAAGAAATCCACGAAAATCAAGGCAAAACAATCAAAAGTCTCACTTAATGACATGCTGTCACCGACGAAAAAGATCGATCATTTTGATATGGTTGTTACAAAACCACCGAATATGTCCGTTTTTACACGATTACATCCGGTTTCATCGCCCATTTTAAACACAAGATCGTCACAACAAACGTCGAAAAAATTCCAAACCAAACGAAATGATATGCAAAATGGTACGGCCAATTATTTTTATTGATTGTTTTACGATCATTTTTCGATTAGTTTCGATTATTTTCAATTTTATTCTTTTCTTTTGTGATTCTCCCCTTAGGTACGGCCAATAAAACACCACAGAAAAATTACTGCAGAAATACGCTGGCTTTTATTGAGAAAATCAGCGACGGCCTTAATGATCGACACCAAAAAACAGTTGAGAAAAAGAGCAACAATAAGAAATTAAATAATATAACCAGTGGACAAGATGTACTCACCAGAAAACCCCCAGCACCAACATCACCAAAGAAACTACCGACAACACATCGAAACACCGACAAACAAAAACAAAAATCCAATTCACACTCATCATCACCCACACGAAAACGGCTGTAAATCGACACTCTCTCTGTTGATCTTTAAGCAACAATGACAAATTTATTATTTAAGCAATACCTCGTCACAACACACATACACCCAAACACAATCCGCACAGTAGTTACGCATTCCAATTTGTTTAATCGCTATTTTATACGCAATATATAGAGAAATGTTCGCTTTTTTGTCGATTTTCATATTTTATGAGAACCCTTGAATTCGGAATTTTGGATACATTCCACACACCGATGAAAGACAATATTTTTTAAAAATGCATATTTTTTTAGGCATTAGCTAAAACATTTTTTTTTTAGAATTAGAAATCAGATTATTCGAAAGATAAGAGTTGTTTTTTTTTAAATCATTTTTAACAGTTCATTGAATTTAATTTTCTCTTTTTTTTTCTTTTTCAGAAATTTTATGTAATTTTCGAAAAAAAAAAGAGATTTTTTTCTGAAATTTCAAAAATTTCCGAAATAGATTCGGTAGAAACTGGATGTTTCATAGAAAATTAATTTTGAAAATAATTCGAATTTTTTTTTTTAATTTTAAAACATGAAAATTGTCACATTTTAACTCAAAAATTCCAAAAAAAAAAATCTTTCGAAAAATTGTAAGAATAATTTTTTCCCAAATTGGCCTTCTGGAAAGTTATATATTTTTTTAAATTAACAGAATTTTACACCGAAATTTAGAGACCCAAAAATTGCACTTCCCTAAAAAAAATCCAAAATTAAAATGTTTTATTGAAACATTGGCAGAAAATCCATTCCAAACATGAAGCAATTTAGTTGATCAAAATAGAAAAATAAGTTAGCACGTCAACTTCACATTCGCACTGCCTGAATCAAATTAAATTGCGTACATCGCAAGCCTTCCATTATGTGGGAATTGAACAATTTAATAACAAATAAATTCTCAATTATTTTAGGAGAGTATTCGTCTGGCACAGATCTCTTCATCGTCGTCCACTCCCACTAACCATGTAGCGCGATGATCATGTTGAGGCTGTCTCGAAACAAAATCACATAAACAATTAAACAAAATTAACCATGCACACTTTGTGTGTGGAAGAGTATTAAAAGAATGCCATAAAATCTACTAATAATTTTCTTAAACCTATGTTAGGCATAATAATTAGTTAACATGCTGAATGTGTCTAATCTCAAGTGAGTTTCCTTCATTTAATTGTTAAATTTACTAATCTGTGATAATTGAGATAAGGTCAAAAGACAGGTGTAGTTTGTGTTTTTTCTCTCTCTTTTTTTGTCTTTCTTCCTTCCCAGTATTAAGCAAATGTATTATTATTATTTTTTTGAAGAAAGAAAAAAGTTTTCAATCTCGATTAGCCAACAGTAGAATTTTATGTTTTGTTGGTAGGGTTAAAGGTTAGCTTTTGTCTATGCCTAAAATAAGAATAATAATGTAAAATGGTTCAAATGGTCCACAAATCGTGAATTTAAACGAGAAAAAAAACGTCTCTAGTTTTGTAAATGAAATGAGATATTTTTTTGGAGCACATTTTGTCCCAGCATGAAAAAAAAATTGTATTTTTTTGGAAATATTGAACCAATATGAAATGAATCACTTAATCCCAACACTGATTTAAATAACCAAATACACACACATAACCGCATACAAATATATTTAATCATATTGTCCAGTTCGAGTTCGTCCAACTGAAATTCGATTTATTATGTTACATATATACGTAAATTCCAAATAATACACCACATATAATGCTCAATTGTCTACATGTCTATATTTTGGCTTGAAATGTTCGCATTTATAATAAAACAATTCTCGAAATGCATTCTGTGCTAATTATGTACGTCCGTTAAAGTTTACTTGCATATTGGTGCTAACGTGTACAATTTCAAAATGAATTAATCGTTAATCGGCTCACAGTTGAGCATTGTGCTAATTTACTTAAAACAACACATTTTTAAAATGACATAACGAATTAACAAATGACATAACGACATTCAAATGACATTTAAATTTGAGAGTTTCTTTTTTTCTTGTGAATTATAAAGAAGAATAAATGGAAATGTTGATTGGAATTTGTTTGGATTTTTATTTTTATTCTTGTTTCATACATTTTGTTAAAATTGATTTTTCTAGAACAGATAAATGAATTAAAAGGTAAATTTCCTGATGAAAAATCGAAAACATGCTTTACTATGTTTAAGTGACAGAGATATTTAGATCAGAACTTGACCAAAAAAATTAACTTGAAGCTACAGTTCCTTTTACAACATTTTCTTCGATTCAATAATATTTTTATTGTTCCTTTCGAATTCATCGAATAATCAAGTTTTTTCTACTTAAAGGCCTGCCACTTCTGATATCAAACTTGATTTGGCCATACGATCGGTTCAATCCAATCCAAATAATTAGCCACTCTTGTATAAATTCCTGGTAAAGTTGTACCACCACAGACAATCCCAAATGACACGACGCCTACAATCTTTGCAACCGAGCTGACTCCGTTGAAATACTGAAGTGGCCCTCCACTATCTCCGTGGCAAGCATCTCTTATTCCCTCTGGATTGTATGCACAATATTGGCCATCAATGAGACCATTTCGAAATTGTGCACTATTTGGTATTTTATTCCATTCGATAACAGTTGCATTGCATTGGAGTAATGGCATTGTGGACAATTGTGCCATTTTTAAGTCATTTGATCTCGAAGATGCTTGAATGTTAAGAGGTTTACTTATTTTTCTCCTGTTCTTTTATCGAGAGTCAAGCGCAATAAGGGCACACTATATAAACGCCATCTATTAATAACCTACTAACTACAACGTAAATCAAACGTATCTGTTTCCCCTTTTTATTTACTCCCTTCTCCTCTCGCTATACTTTTACATTGTAGTTAGCCTGTTTTACAAAGATGTCGTTTCTGTGTAAGATGTGTGACGTCACAATGTATTTATATGGATAGCGCTCGACTCTCATCTTTTATATGAATTAAAATATAAGCCTACCATCGAATTCCATAGTTAAACCCCAACCTGTCACCATAAGATTTACATTCCATGGTTGGT